TGTAAATTTTTACCTGTTACATTATAAAAAGCTACTTAAAAAAAATTTTATCAATCGCCTCTCCTTTCTTTCATTCCTTCCATCCTTCCGCGTTTCCCTTTCTTTTTATTCAAATATAGATTTATGAAATTTTGAGAAAATCGGCCTGTCATATTTATGAAAGAATTTTCTTTTAACCTCGGATTCTTTTAATAATTAACGGTGATTTGTAGCAGGTAACAGAAATAAAAATAATCATTTTGTGTAATTTGATGACGCAGATTGACGTCATTGTGTAACAAGGAAAGTACTTGGGTTTCTACGTTTATTTTGTGTGTGTGTGTGTGTGTGTGTGTGTATGCGTTTGCGTGTGCGTGTGTGTGTGTGTGTGTGTGTGTGTAGGTACGTTCGTTGAACTTAGAAGAAAAAACTATTTGCGCGCTTAAATTAATTTGCAAGAATGATATAAAGTTTCATAGTTCCCTTTTCAAATAAATATCAAAGTATACATTTTAGCGTTTATTATTTACTAAGCTTTGTCTTATTCAGGTTTAAATTAATTAAATAAAATTGATTATTTATCTTAATTGATTTTTAATTTTTGAAGAAGTCTGAAATAGTGTAATATTGAAATAAAACGTGTAATTCTAAGAAGAAATTGTCTATTTAAAATTTTGATGTCGTATTTATTTTGAAATGCTTGATTTTATTTCAATCATTCTACATAGGATTACGATATTATTAAGTTATAATATCTCTAACTATAGGATAATCCCGTAGAATAACCGGTTTTGCTACGTAGTATATCTCCTTGCAATTTTTTCCTGTTGGTTTCCGTAGGAAGCATATTTTTGTATAGCAATGGATATAAATTTGGATAAATATAAACTGTATTGTAAGATATTAAGGCCCAGTTTCACAACTCATGGTTAATTCTTAACCGCGGTTCAACTTTGTTTCTCATCTTTTTCCAATTCTAAAATTGAAAAGAGATGAATAAGTTGAACCTCAGTTATAAGTTAACTGTCAGTTGTGGAACTGGACCTAAATGTTACAGCGATGTATATTTGTATGCTACGGTCTGCTCCAATAATAACATGATATTCATTAATTTACTGCAAATGAATGAGATTAAGTAAATTTGATACACGTAATGATCCTGATACACGTAGTGATATTGGAAATCCAAACATATTAATTGATAATTTTAATTAATTTAATTCAGTATTAAAAATAATAAATTCAATATTATTAAAAAAAAAAACAAAAATCATTAAAAACAGATTAATATGCATATATTGTAATTAATGCCGAATATAATATTTATAATTAATGAACGAAATAATATATAATATTATACGTAAATTCGAAAGACAAAAATTTAATTTTTCTTTCTTTTTCCTTTTAATTATTTTTCTAAACTTTGTTTTTTTGTGTTCATTTCTCTTATTTATACTTTATGTATATATATCTTTATACTTTATGTCTTATATACTTCTTAGCTCACTACTTTCTTTCTTATATTTTTTTATAAGAAACAAGAGTATATCAAAAATGCAGATAAAATACACTTGCACAAATGTTTGCACGAAGATCAAAGTGTTAGTACGTTTATGAATTTAACCTTGCACTGGGCAACAGGTTTCCTAGAACTGGTTTCGTACCTCGTATAGCAAAAATAAATACTCTGCTCAGTTAAGATCCTTCCACCTGTAATCCTTCAAAAAGGTATGAGACTTAAGGCTGGTATAATTCGTTCATAGTTCGTTTGTATTTAAGACTGTCTTAAGATATTAATACGGCCCTCTGATTGGTTCATGACATTTTAAGACTAAGCCTTAAATATAAGTAATTAAGACACAGCTTTAAATATAAAAATTGACTATATATGAATATTGACTTAAATATAATTTTTCGATCATAGTCGATTATTCTTCTCACATTCAACTATGATTGTTCAATTTCTTAAGACTTATTACTCTATTTGCAATTTAAACAAAGAATCAAAACGTGAATTGAACGTTCTGAATTGAAATTGATGTAACTAATTGGTTGAATACAATATTTGGTGCTGTAATTTCGTGGAAATAGTAGACTTGATTAATTCCTTAAGGCTTAAAGCTTATTACTCTATTGTGTTTGCGGACTAAGTCTCACTTAAGTCACCGATTTTTCCATTTTATAAATATATGGGTCTATTTATTTCTTTTCGCTTATCAATTTTGAAATTACGCTATGAAAAATTATATTTAGATCAATATTCTGAAAATCCGAATCCATTTCAATTCATTTCAATCCATTCTCGTTTGCTGGATTATGATTAAACTATATTTATGACTATGAATACCGATCTAGAAGAATTATTTTCATATATCTCTCGACAACTTCAGGGAATTATACCGGGTTCAAGTTCAACTCGACAACTTCGAGTAATATATTAGGTTCAAATTCAATCTTCCCGGGGAGAATTCAATCTTCTTGCGTTCTCTATTTTTGAATCGTGCACGACCGTGATTTAAGCCGATGATTGAAGCGAAAAATTGACAGTCAGCTTTCAGCGTGGGAGAAGCAAGGAAGGAGACGGTGATGATTGTGATTGCATTTTTGAATCTGTGCGTTTGTATTCCGAGTCGGTGTGACGTGAGTTCGTCAGGGTCACTATCGAGGATCGATTAAAGAGCAGCGGCACCAATTCGAGCCGCACGAACGCACGCTTCCTCACGATTGGTCGTACCACTACGATCGTCTACGGACTTGTTTCTCTCGAGTCTCGGCGGGGACTGGGGTTTTCCTGAGAAGATACAGTCAATATTTTATATTCGTTCGTTAGATCGTCCTCCGCAGTAAGCATTCGGTGCTTGAAGGAGGCAAGTTCGTTAAACAAGATGCGTACACGTAAGTAGATTCAGTTAATCAAGAAGGGAAATTATTCTCACGCGCTCGGTTTGTTTATTTCTTCGTTCGATATCAGACACAAGCAAACTCAATCGTTATATTACAGATCCACGCGAGGTAGTGATTGAAATTTTATATAATTTCGATGATTTCAGAGTCTAGGTTGTAATCGTGAAGAAGTGCTTATTCATGATATTTGTAACATTCCTTAACTGTGGAAATATTGAACTCATCGGTATAATTTCGCAAAGGTTGAGAGACACGTGAAAATAATTCTTAAATTCCTTTTGTGTAGAAATCAATTGACATTATTCTTTGCATCAAAAAAGATCGAACCGAAATATTATCAAAATTGTAAACGCATTAAAATCTCTATATCCGTTTTATATTTATAAAAATATCTTTGATTGTTTTAGAAACTGGAATAATTGTTATTAATTATATATTGTTTATAATATTTCGTATTGTTTTTTAGATTTACGTAATATATAGATTACACATAATATATAGCTATATAGTATATTACTTATACTAAAAATTCTGGTAATTACTTTTGTATCCATATTACATGTATATGTAAAAGTAATTATCAGTATTTTTGAAAGATCCAATCGTAAAATTTAATATTTTAAATATTGTTACACATTTAATATAACAAGGTTAATATAATAGAAGGTTAACATAATTATACGTAGGAAATAATTTGATTGTTCTGATCATGTCTTATCTATTGTTTAATACATTCTTTATTGTGTGTTAAAATTATGTTTTAATTAAAAATATATTTTCAGTCACATAGAAATAAATTGAATAAGATAAATGATAAATCTCTGTAGTCTTTCGAAGTTTGAAAATTGATTTCCGTACTGATTTTGAAACTATATATGAGAAAGAAAACATAATCAAAAAATAAAACATTAATAAAGTGGATTTGAGAATTAAAGTAAATATTCCTATATACACTGCTAATATTATTGAAAATCTATATTTTATAGTACACGTATCCTACAGATTTTTAGAATTGGCACTGTATATTGGAACATAGCTTTAATTTAACTCCAAATATTGTTTTTTATTATTATCATTCTGTTTTTTGCTTATGTTTCTCTTCGCATAACTTCGAAATTATATGAACATCAAATTCTAGACTTTAAAAGGCTGCAGATTTATTATTTATCTTATTTTACTTATTTCTATGTATTAAAAATATATTTTAAAAATTCAAAAATAACAGAAAATTTTAAGTTTTAACAACAGAAAATTTGTTAAAATGTACGTGTTTTCCGTATAACATTTAAAAATTTTTGAAAATATTACTTGGATTTTTGTGTTAAATCTGATTTAATACATATCTATTAAAAAATTATGCATTTATCGAGAATTTAAGAAGACTCTACAAAAGATTAAAGATATACAAAAAAAGATTTGTGCCAGACGACAGAGACAAGCCGCGAAAGGATTGGAGTAAAAGAGAATAAACTTGAAATTTGATTCTTAAATGAGATTTTTCTTATTGTTATCTTCTTATTTTCTTTCGCGCCATGTACGAGATCTGGGGATTCATCGGATATGATTGCTTCTCAATCGCGATAATCCCAAACGCGCTCTCTCTCTTTTTCTCTACGCAAAAATACCGTCGGATATACAAGTCTTACCAAATTCCTTCTGATACGATGACAATGTCTTATCGTTATACACCGAATTGACGTATCAACGATAATGCTATTCAACGAGTCGTAATTCTTGACTCGTTGAATGGTTGCTCCAAGGTGATCCTGGATACCATTCTCGCTTGGTTCATGATTCATTTCTAGAATTGCGCAGCGTGAACTTTTCTTTCATTATCAGTTGATTAATGTTCCCATTTCAGAATTAATCAGATGTCTTGCGTGGTTTTTTATGATACATAGCAGTTAGTTACGTTGGATCTACGGATAATATGATTATACAGTTTTCATGTACATCGTACACGAATTTTTTCTGTTAAACAATGAAATAAAAAAGAAAAAAATAATTTGATGAGACTAAAAAGGAACAATCTTAGTATTTGTTTTAAATTTATTGTCAATTAGTAAATTATGTACGGTTCATTATTTGATGAAAATTTAGAATGAATATAAGAAAAAATACGGTTTTCTTGTAAATATTAATTAATTATCATATGTGACTTTACATTTTGTTGCTCGTCGATTTATATCAGTATTCAACAGATCACTTTTCTTCTAGTTTGGAAATAGAAAAATGAAAATGAGATAAAGTAGGTTTTAAAAGATGAGATAATACTCAAACATTCAATTCATGATGCATAGATACACAGTATTTTTTTTTCTTCATATCGCAATTTCAATGTAATATTTATTTTGCGCTCAATATTATTATGGACAAAACACAACGAATCCAGCATAATTTTATCGCTGTCGTCAAACAATTTTATCTCCTATAATTCAAAGTTATTTAAAAAAATTACAATTTATAAAAACTATTTATATAGCTTCATAAATTTGTAATGCACGAAAGTGCTTGTAATTATACAGTTTGTAATTTATTTTTTTATTCACGTTAAAGGCATTTTACTTAAAATTTTTAACACAAAATAAAGTGCAAGAGTTATAAAAGAAAATATACAATAGTATTTTATAAAAATTCTGTAAAATCTTACTTTACGGTCGTAAAATAAAGTTACGCGTCAACATCGGAAAAAAAATAAAAAAATAAAGAATGAAGAAGAAACTTGTAATTCCGGAAAGTTCTGTTGGATAAAATATAATTATACTGTATATATGGTTGGATAAAATATAATTATACTGTATGTAAGAAGCTTATAATGTTTATATGGACATGTCGATTAATTGATAAATTAAGCCCTAATTATTTCGCTGATTTTTGTTAGAAATATTCATTCTTTTAGAGCAAATTTTCTTTTTATTTTCTCTTTAATATTAGAATTATTATAATGTAGAATTTATGTAGAATTATATAATTTTTAGCAACCGAGATACAATTTTGTTTAATGTGGTTTCTTTTTTAGCAGCAATAATAAAGAATTATTATTGCTGCTAAAAAAGAAACCACCAAACAAAATTGTATCTCGGTTCGTCTATCCATTGCATATATCTAGTTGTTATACATGATTAGTCTTACGTATATAACATGACTATTACATTAGTATCTTAATGGGTTTTTCCCCGAGGCACTAGGAAACATCGATTTAATGATCTCGTGATATTCTCGTTTGTTATTTCTACTTCGTTAAATGCGGTGATATCTTGTCACATATTTTTATATTGATTATTTATTTTAAGAATTAGATTCTAAGAATTAAATGATTATTGTGTATGCAATATTTTGCAATAATTATATTTCGCAATATATTTAATGACATTTAAATTACTTGGCACAAAAGACTGTAAACATCAGATTCTCGGAATATTGAATTTCCATCAAAGTCAGCATTGGAAAAATTTGCAAGTGTACAAATTTTTATTCTGTGATAATATTCTTCTAATCTAATGATTCTTCTGTAAAGTAATATTATTTTTAACAAAAAATATTTTTAGATCAATGGTTTTCACGAAATTTTTATTTTTTTCATACTTATAATCTTTTTCACGTAAAATGTTTATATATATTGTATTTAAGAAAATGTTTTATTATTATTAAACATAGCAATATAACCTGATATATTTTATTTTTAATTTATCACAATTGTTATCGCAAGCATAATATTTTTTAATAATTAGAAATGTTAATAAATATCATAGACAACATATTATTAATATGCATCTTAGCACATATATGTCGGCGTATCTAACGGTAACATATGTTTTACATTCTTTTCCTGATCGGTTTGTTACGCAACGTAATTATATGTGTAGAATGTCCTCGGTTCATCAGCCTCTCTTGAGGCAAACACTGAAGGCTAAATAATGATTGTTTGTCAATATCAAAATTATTAATTTGATATAAATTTAAAAAACTGAAAAGACTAACGCGGATGACTTACTTTAAAAACAGATTGTAAAATATTACAAACAGTTTAATTAACTTAATTCAATGGGATACATGGAAGTGCGCATTATAAAAAATTTAATTTGTCGAGGTCGTTTTCCATATCTTAAAACACACTTTAGCTTTAGCTTGACAAGAAGTTATAATTCAAGTATTAAAAAAATGAATTCTTAAATTAAATTTGAAGAAAAAAAAGATTGGATTAGATGTTTGGAAGGTAAGATAGGTCGATCTTCGACCTTGCATATATGACTCGCATACTGCGACAGACATCCTGTTAACGCCCTCGTTTCTTATCATTTATATAATTGTCTTTTGCCCTCTGTTAATTCGATAAAACCAAGATCGTATATATTTCTGCTGAAGTAATATTTTCCATTATCACGAGCTGCAGTATCGCTGCCCGTATCGTTGTTTGTCGCGTCCCTCTCGTGGCTCTTTGATTGTGAGAAACTCGGGACATAATCGATTTTCGATTTAGTGAGCTTGTATAGCGACAATTATTCCTACACTGAAATTTAAATGAAAAAAGAGAATGACGTCTTCGCTTTAAGTGTGAATGGAATATTACATGGTATAAAACAAATTTATGTAGTACAATTAAAGAAGACGATGAAAAGAGATGTTTGGATTGAATCATTCGCCTTATATTTAGACATGTTCGTGTAAATCAATTATTATTTATCATTATCAATCATTATTAATTATTCATTAATTATATGGACATTTCACATAGTTATATAGACATTTTTTTCTTAAAATTTTAACTGTACTCTTATTTTGTTAATTCTAATTTTTGAAAAAATTCAATTTTATATCTGTATTGTCTTTTTTTAATTATAATAATTGACAACAGTAGGATTGTTTATGTAGGATAGGAATATTTTTTAATGATTTTTATTATTGAAATTATAAACGTTTTTCTATTTTTTATGAAAAGCATGGTATTTAATGCACGTATAATGTATGAAAACGTTGTCCAATCGACGTATGTTAGAATAACGTATGTTAGAATTTAATAATATCCGATGTATTAATCAAAAATTGTCCTAATTACATTATTATTCTTGAGTATCGTTACGTAATAATCGCAAATACGAATGATTAGTATCATTATCTCGTTTTATGTCATGTATATATGATTCATCATAACAATTATAATTTAAAAGACATGACTAACATGAGTAACAGAATTATAATATAAAAATATATATATTTAAAGTTATTGAAAGATATGCAAAATATTTAACTAAATAATTTCATTAAATTTTTTAAATTAATATAAACGGCAAGTATATAGTAAATCAATATTACAGAAATATGTATTATTCTTTTTATGTATTATTATTATTCTTTTTTGATGATCAAATTAATTTTTAAAAGTACTACTTATGTCATTTTATATATCTTATGCCGCTAAAATAATTACAATTATTTAAAAATCCGGTTTTTATGTTTTTCGAGTTTTTAAGTTAGTTTTTTGTCGATTAACTTTTTAAATTTTAGTTCATAAAATTTCGTTTTATTACTTACTTTAAAAGTGTAATATTATAATTGCCCTTCGAATCGTTGTAATCTTCATATCGCTTCTTGAAAGTTGAAAGACTCTATTGAATAGGCACATAAATATGTGCCTACGTAAATATGTGCAAGATTGTAACAATGTGGTAGTTTTATGTTCACCTTGAACGACATGTCTGACACTTTATTTCGAGTTGTATGCGACCTTCCAACGCAAGTGTTCAATTTTCAATAATAATCCTGTAATGCTTAAAGCGATGATCTCTTTGCTGTTACATATCTTATGTTATATGTTATGTTAAAATATCGAAGAGAAAATTGACGTTGTTTATTTTCATTTAAGGATAATTGCATGTATAAGCGTAAAAGTATTTAAAAATTTATATCATTATTAATATTAAAATTATTGAAATTATAGCAAAAACAATAATTTTATGTTTTTTTTTTATTAAGCATCTCGACTATATGATTCGCGTATATGTAGAATTTTGTAATAAATTACTATTGATGTTTTTGTTATTACAGTACAAAGAAGTTTTTTGGCATTTTGCATATTTACATCAACCATGGCCGCGGCAATTGAAAATAATTTAGCTGTTCAGGCTGTTTCTCAGGGCGCCCATTTGTTCTCCGCTAACTTCGTCAAGGTATATTAATTGAATTTAAATATTTTTAAAAGTTCTATTAATATTCGATATTATACAGAATATATTTTCATATATATTAATTTAATGTTAATACTTTCATATATATTAATTTAATGTTATACTGTTATATAACTTATAAATAATTATAAGAAAATAGTTTTGGCGAAATCTATATGAAGAGCAAATTTTCAAAATACATTTTGTCCAAAATTTTTAGAAAACTTAATAACGGAAATATTATAATTTCCTTATATGACTTTCCAAATAATAAAAAATTCTGAGAAATCAGGCAAATGAGAGTGTAAGTTGTTGGAGCGTGATCAAATAATACTGTTAATCAGTGTAATAATCGATTGTGTATTTCCATAAAAACGAATGTTTCGACTCTTTTTAGATCATCATCAGCATTAATACAATCTTCAAAAATATGAGACATCACTTATAATATATCATCTTATAGACATCATATTATAATATGAGACTTATGCGTCAATGGCAGCCACTAAAGAATAAGAATTGAAAGATCCTAAGTGAGGTGCATTTTGTTGCAATCTTTTACAATTTATTTTATTTGAGAGATGTGATTATAGGAACAAATAGAAATTTTTAGAAAACGAGAAAAAAGTCACAAGGAAACCGCACGTTTTACAGAAAATAACAATTTACCAATCAGTAAGATGTAAAACAAAATTGCTAAACTATTTCTAATAATATTAAACAAATGCATTTTGCTTGTCTTTAGTTAAAGGACAATTCGAATGTCTAGACTTTTTTCAGCACATAAATTGATCGACAAAAAAATGCCTTCAAAACATCGTAGAGTAGCTTAAAATATAAATCTTTCAACACATCTTTAAATACTATGCCATCTCTAACTAACAAAATGAAATTTTCGACAAAATGCATTTTGGAAGTCTGCTCTTCATATAACTAATTTTAATATACTAAATAGTAAGTCAATAACTTACTGATTGTGAAATAATCGAAAGAGAAATGCCTGATTTTTTTTATTTGATGAATTTTTTGATATGCATAATGGAACTTTCATACTGTTAATTATAAAATAGAAAAGTATTTATAGTGAATAACCTTTTTTTAGACTGTTTCACAAGAACAAACAGACAATTTAATATGTTCTCCTCTGAGTGCTCACATCACCTTGAGCATGGCAGCTAATGGAGCTGATGGAAGTACCGAGGCGCAATTTAAAAATGTTCTCAAGCTTCCAGTCTCGAAACCACAAACTCTAGAAGGTTATCAGAATCTCATCGATAAATTAAATGTAATTATCAAATTACAAAGTATTATGAAACGTAATAGTTAGTACACTACTTACAGAATGTGAACTATCTATGTAACACATAGAAAAACATAAAACATAAAACAACAACAGTAAAACAAAGCAATAAGCGAATCGGTCAATCATAGTCGAAAACGTAAGGCAATAATGTATGTAGATAATAGCAAATAAAAAATGTTGATCTGCTTACTGCTTATGTTTTACTAATTACGTTTCTTTATGTGCTATTTAAATCTTCAAAATTTAATAAAATTAAAATAATATTAATTTATAAAATGTTAACATTTTTAGGAATCATTAATCAAATTTATAGCATATTATTTATAAATGTGACATTATTTACCGAATTAATTTAGTTATATCTTGTGATATTTTATGATACTCTATTGACAAAATAATAATGCTAATCGAAATAATGGAACGCTATCTTTACAGAACGTTGAGAATGTTACTTTGAAGCTCGCTAATAAAATGTTTATTGGCAAAGACTTCCCGATAAAACCTGAATACAAACAGGATCTCGAGACGTATTATAAATCTGGTATTCAATCGGTAGACTTCAGTAAAAGCCAAGAAGCTGCGAACACCATCAATACTTGGTGCAAAGAACAAACAAATGATCGCATCAAGAACATCATTAATGAAGGTAAGCATTTACTATAAAATTCTATTCTATTGAGAGAAAATAGAATTTTCTTATTTTCTTCATTTATATAAAGAAACATTTAACATAAATTTAGAACAATTGTTTCGTAAAAAATATAGTAATTCACCAAAGTGCTAAATATTATTTTCATCATCTAGATACTATATTCTTATATTTTCATAAATTGTATATAAAAATGTATTGATTTGAACAGCAATTGAAAGCATGCTTATAATTTGTACTATCGATTATAGGTGATGTGAATGATGCTACTGCATTGGTGCTCGCAAACGCGGTATATTTCAAGGGTCTATGGGCACATCAGTTCGATCCTAAGGCTACCACGGACCGTCCGTTCCATATTGATGCTAACACTGTGAAAGATGTTCCAACTATGTACAGAAAGGGCAACTATAAATACGTCGAATTGCCGGAATACGATGCTAAATGCATCGAATTGCCATATGCGGTAATATTACTTTCATAAATTAAAAACAATATTTAATCAAATGTGTGTAAGATTATTGCTTTTCACAAGTGTGTTTCGCAATTGTGATGAAAAGCAACGAAGTATTTCGCGAATCTTTTTTTATGAGTGTAAATTTTATTATCATAGAATAAAGAGGTCAGCATGGTGATCATTCTACCCAATAAAATTGACGGTCTAGCTGCGCTGATCGACAAACTCGAGGAAGTTAACGCGGAATGCAGCTCTCGCCTCACCCAAATATATGAACGTGAAGTCAAAGTATATCTGCCCAGATTCAGATCTGAGACCAAGTTGGATCTCAAGGATACATTGTCCAATAAAGTACGTCGTAATGTTCCGCTGATAATAAAATAAATGCAATATTATATCTAACTTGCGGTCTTACTTGCTGCAGATGGGTCTTAGTGAGGCATTCAGCGATAAAGCTAACTTTAACGGCATTTCGAATGTCCCTCTGAAGATCGACAAAGTCGTGCAAAAAGCTTTCATCGAAGTTAACGAAGAAGGTAGCGAAGCAGCCGCCGTCACTGGTAAGTACACCTTGTTTTGTTTCTTGCATTTGTTTGTGACGGAATACGGGCGAAATATTATCTTGAAGTTTTCGATCTTTAAATAGAAGAAAATATGTAAATCAAATAATTTCCTTTAAATACTTTATATTTTTGTCTCATTTTTTTTACCATCTATGTTTATCTACGTATTATGTAACTGTTACAGTTATTGTTGAGAGATAATAATGATATGAGAGATAATAACAGCTGTACTATTGTTAGTTAATGTATTTGCTGGGTTATGTATAACTTTGAAAGAAGATTATAATATTTAATTATTTATAGTCTAGATAGAATGCACATAATATTTAACTATTTAGATAGAATGCAAGTCTAGAATGCAAGAGATAATATGATAATTATATGATAATTATAATATGAAATAATATGATAATTATAAATAATATTAATTTTACATCAAGAGCAAGATGATATTTCGCTTAATTTTATTTGGGATACATCGAAATTCTTTTTCGCTTTTTAGACACTCTGAGAAATTATTTTTTTGAAACTATTCGGTTATGCTTGTGCATGTAACATTATTTTAATATTATGTTAATCGTGTAGCAAAATTTCAAATTTTTCGCTCTCAGAATTTCCGCGGCACGAATGTATGTGATTTTGTACGTTGCCGTGATTTTAAGCTGAGTGTGATAACTAAATGTTGCTCACATGCTTCCTACATCAGCAAGTTTGCTACTCTCTACGCAGTATTCTTTTTATGTTTTTTTGTCTTATCTATTTTTTTCTGCTTTCTTTTATCTTCACTTTTGCAAACATACTATTGCATTGTTAATTAATGCTTTATTATGCAATATACCGCATAACATCAAACCGCATGTTTATTTGATTATGCACCTTTTACTCACATTGCACTTATTATGATTTTTGTCACACAATGACAATCGTATATACAAGCTAATTGATATTTATGATCTATTATTTCGATGATATTCAGAAAAACTTGTAATCAAATTTTCAAATTTTATAATAAATAGAGTGTTTCAGTGTTGCGATTATTGACATTTAATCAGTGCTCGCATTTAATTTAAATCTTGCATGTAGTTAATATGAATGTATTATGGTGATTGCATAGCTTGTATTCGTATTTATTATTACAAGCTATGCTATGTCCTGAGATTTATTTCGAAGGAACAATTGGGATTTTTTAGATAACACGAAATTTAGAAGTCTTTAAACAGATTATTACGCTTAAATTAGACTTTGTGCACTTCTGCAGTTTACTTTTAAAAATAAAATTGCACGAATGATTGGACGGTGAAGTAATAGAAGCTCAAAATTGTGGGGAGTTAAAGTGATTTTATTTAACGAATTAAATCATCTTTAACAAACTTAGAATGCGCATTTACCGGTAGTATCAGAAAACTATGCAGTTCACGGTTCACAATGATATATTTTGCGATAACGACTCTGTTTATGATACTACGAAAACAAAATTAATTATCTCTTAGAATATATTAATATCAATATATTAACTAAAACTAAGCTATTAAGGAAAAAGGAAAAGATCAAAATTTTTCGAGCCCTTCATAACCATATGAGAAGACATAATAAATGAAATTCTCATCAAGATAATATCCGTCAATCGGACTATGAATCCGCCAAAATGAAAATTAGTTTTATAATACAGCAAAATGAATTGCACTTTTCCTCGATTCGATATATTAGGTGTGGGAAAAAGTTCGTAGCATTTTTTTAATGCCATCTAATGGGAAAAACGCCACGAACTTTTTTCCACACCTAATATTTGACAACAAAACATGCATCTGTCACAGCTGATAAAATAGAATTTTCTTTGTTTAATTCAATGAAAGAATTGGCGAAAATAATGTGGACGCAGGATTTATATACATTAAACTAATAAAAAAATTTTGAACAAATAACATCTAAAAAATATATATATATATTTATATAAAACACGGACGATTTTCATTGCTTGACTTACGACTCGCTGATTCTATCGTAATCAGTGATGCATCTTTACTAAATTCTTTTCTTTTCCTGCACTCTCAACCAATTTCTATGCTCTGATCAAATCCTGGCATTACTAATATTCAATCAGTCATATTTCTTATCTAAATATTTCTCGCGTGCTCTGGGTATCCAAGAGCGCATCCGATTATTGAAACGGATAATTGATACAAAGAATGATCTTCTGACAGGTGCCTCTGTCAGACCTCTTTCGGGTATTTGGAAACCAGTGGAACCTTTATTACTTCGCGTCGATCATCCTTTCCTGGCGATCATTAAATACAACAGCGTCGCGTTATTCGTAGCGAAGATCCTGTGGTAGTGATAATGAATATTTATACGTTTTTAATGATAGAAAACAGTAATTAATAACTTTTCATATTACACTCGCGCGTATATGATGATACTTTTTAGTTATTCATGTACTATCGATATACTCAGCAATTTTATAACTGCACTGAGAAACCCATTTAGTTGAATTAACCAAGGATTTGTTTGCCCATATCCAAACAAGAAATTAATTGATACAATAAAATAATTTAATTGAAGCAAAACATTTGGTTATTGTAACGTTTCATTTGTTTTTGATAAACATTGATATTTGATAAAGTTATTTTCAATAACCAAATGTTTGGCTTTAACTAAATTATTTCATTTATTTTATTGCATCAACCAAGGATTTGTTTGCCCATATCCAAACAAGAAATTAATTGATTCAATTAAATGGATTTCTCAGTATGAAAAGAAAAATATTTTAATGACATGCGATTAATAGTAAAGTCAATTTATGATAAAGTACATACATCTTTCGTATAAAATATTGTGTTGTCCAGAAAGTTCGTGCCGATTTTGAAGGAAAATTGAAACGCAGAAGATTTAAATTTTAGTATACATTTATTAAATTATATAGGTTAGTCGGCACGAACTTTCCGGACAATAATAAAGCTGATGATATCTCGTTAGATGTATAACTTGTAAAACATGACATTATTTGTATAATAATAGAAATTAAATTTTATAAATTATTATTGCTCAAATTAATTTTGATTATGCACAAATCCGAAAATGTGCAGTTTTGATAACATATTTAAATATTTAAATAGGCGATTATCATTAAAAAAAAACACTATTTTTTAAAATTTATTATACGTATTATGTGATATGTAATTAATTGCCTTGTTCAATAGATTTAATTATTCCATAACATAAAACCATCAAAATATTAATATAATTTTTGACGAGAATAATTAATATACATAATACGTATATATATATATATA